CTCTTGATAGGAGTTGCTGCTGTGGCCTTATTTCATCCAGCACAGGCTGTAAAGGTAGGAGTGTTTGTTCTGAGAGTGGAATTTTGAAATTTGAGATTTCAGAGGTAAGATGTTTCTGGATAACAACAATATCCAGCGTATGTCTAGAAGGATGGATGGCTCAAGTAGAATGTGATAAAGACCACTGGCACTGAAGGAGAGAAGAAGTGGTGAGGCTGGGATGTGGGCTGCACCATCCTGTGGACCCAAGAACGCTGTGTGGGTGGGGAGTGTGGAGGAGTGGCCGGAAGTCCAGGAGATGATGGCAATGGTAGCAGGGCAGGTATGGGATGATCAGATGAGATGGGGTGATTCTGTAGACCATGAAGAGCATGACCACGCTTTTCTAGGTCAGCCTTTGAGTGCTGGGCACCAGAATCACTCCACCATGCCCTTCACTTCCCAATATGCACAGTCTTGTTTACTTGTCAGTTTTTCAAATAAACTTGTCCCTTCTGACTTCTGGATAGTGTGCAAGAGGATTCATCAGATACTGGTGAAAATATGAAATAATATTCAAGTCAGTTTTGAGTAAGAAGACAGCTGCCATAGTAGCAGATTACCAATGTCCCCTCTTTAAAGCTTTTCCTTTTCTTTTCTGCCTTCCTTGTCTCCTCAGGTATGTATCTAAAGGTGAGGGGGGGTCTTCACATGGATCAGCAGGATTTATAGTAGTGACATTTATTAACAGTGTTAAATGAATAATACTTGTTACTCTCATTCTAGGTAAATAAAAATCAGAAACCAGACAGTCATTATCCAGATGGTCCTAAGAGTAGACTCAACCATCAGAGTGCTAGATATAAATAAATTAGAGCCTATAACAAGTGGAGAAGGTTAAAATATGTATTTTTATAATGACTATCATAATTTAATGTTTCTTTGTTTATGTGTAACAGATGAACAAATGATTTACAGAAATGCAACTGTAGCATGAGTTTCCATCCTTGGCTGTGATTTCACATTCTTGGAATGCTTTTTAGAATACCACAAGAGAAATCTCTCTACTCCAAATTAAAGATTTTCAGTATTTGGAAATTCAATGAATGTTTCCTGGAAATTTTGTATCTGTAGCAAGTGATCTGGGCCATGAATATTTAACTCTGTACTTCCTTTTGTTTTCCCTTACATATTATCCCTTTTGTACAAGGGTCAGCCCCTTTGGCAGTCGCTTTGGTCTTGAGGAAACTGGTAGGGATTAGAGGACCAACGGATGTTATTCTCACCTTTGACACAGAAATTCTTCTTAGGACTACATGTGAGTGTCTAAAAATAAGTGAAGTAATGATAGTTTTGGTAACCATAGCCTTAATACGAAACTAGAAGAGCTTCTGTTACTCTGAAAGCCACCTTCAGTGAAAGTGACACAGCCATTTCATAAGTGCCGGTATAATTCAGATTATTTGAGGGAACCCGTCTTGTGGGCTGCTATCAGGGCTACTTTGCAAGCCAACCAGAAAACCAGTTCTATAATTTTAGTGTCCTATTCTCCATTTTTACTAAGTCTAAACATTCTCCCAAATTTTAAGGATTGGCTCTCTGTGGCATTTATCTATCAAAAAATAAAATAAAATTCACCCTTAAAAGAGTAAGGTTTTCTGCCACTGAGGACATTTAAAGTAATGGACCTCCGCTTCCAAAGTTGTGAGACTCCAACTAGAATCTGTTTTTCTGATTCAGGCTACTACCCCATGCTCATGTCACCAGAAACTTGTCAGAGAGTGTTAAGTATTACCATTTTTATTCTGGAATTCAGAAATGCCTCAGACTAGCATTTTTAACCCATCTTTCCAACTCTATTATCTTTTCATTAACTGTGACCTCCTCCCTGCCCCCTCCACACCCAAAACTTTTTCTGTCTTCTTTGCTTAAGATAAATTGCACCACATCTTGTATCTGTGTTCTTTAATTTTCAGTGAGTTACTGTTCGGTTAATTCTTCCAAATTGTATCCTTTTTCTAGATCTTTGTCATTATTAGGTTTATGAGTTTGCATCTAATTCTGGCCTTTCACCTGACTCAATTTCATTGTCATCTGAAGGCGTTCATCTTCAGCATCCTGATTATAATTTTTGAAACCATCAATGTGGCAGGTACTGCGCTGAGGACTTAATTCGTCCGGTCACATAATCCTCACAACCACCTTAAGAGATGAGGATTATCATGATTCCCACTTAAGAGATGAGGAGGCTGAGGCTCAGAAAGTACAAACAGCTTGCCCAAAGTCCAATGACTGGAAAATGGGGGAGCTGGGATTCAAACTCACATCTTTCTAAGGCAGGGTTTCACAACCTCAGCCCTGTATTACTTGGGGCTGGATAATCCTTTGTTGTGGGGCGTTGTCCTGCTCATTGCAAATGCTTAGCAGCAGCATCTTGATCTTCTAAAAAAATTAGCTGGACACGGTGGCGCGTGCCTGTAATCCCAGCTACTCGGGAGACTGAGGCAGGAGAATTTCCTGAACCCAGGAGGCGGAGGTTGCAGTGAGCTGAGATTGTGCCATTGCACTCCAGCCTGGGTAATAAGAGCGAAACTCCGTCTTAAAAAATAGAAAAAAAAGAACTCCCTCCTCAGCTCCCCACCAAGTGACAACCAGCTGTCTCTCCAGACGGTGCCAAGTGCTCCCTGGGATTTGTTTAGGGTCCACCTGTCTAACACCAAATTCATGCTTTTGCTACATTATACCGTTAGATGGGTAACTAAGAAAACCATCGAAGTTTAAAGCTAAATTTTCAAGAAATCAATTTTAGGAGTCACCACACCTGGTTGATTATTAGAAGTGGAGATTTTTAAAGACTCTGTCCCCACCCAGGGTGTTCAGGATAAGTATTTGCCAGGTGGACAGGTATCTGACTCTTTCAAGACTCTCCACAGTGTAGGAATTACGGATCCAGTCCTAACCTAAGCACACATCTGTTCCTTGAATCACTCTACTCCATTCCTGCCAAATCATTCTCCAGCCTCAGCTTTAACACCTCCTGTGATGGCGTTATAGTCGACAGTTCCATACCCTTCACTTTCTGAGACAGTCCATGTTCCAATAGTCCTAAATGTGAAAAAGAATTCTTCTTAATATTCTTTCTATATATCCCTGTCAATGCCCTTAATCTCATATTATCCAAGTTATCATTTTTCTCACATCAGTTGAATTAAACAAACACTTTCGTCCCAATTATGTGTTAGGCGCTACTCTGAACAGTTTCTTTACTATAGCCATTAAAATCATTACTGACTCCTTAAAATTGAATGTCTACACCCTTTACCCACTCTTTCTCAGTTTAACAATGGACTTCCGGCCGGGCGCGGTGGCTCACGCCTGTAATCCCAGTACTGGGAGGCCGAGGCGGGTGGATCATGAGGTCAAGAGATCGAGACCATCCTGGTCAGCATGGTGAAACCCCGTCTCTACTAAAAATACAAAAAGTAGCTCCAGCTACACAGGAGGCTGAGGCAGGAGGATTGCCTGAACCCAGGAGGCAGAGGTTGCGGTGAGCCAAGATCGCACCATTGCACTCCAGCCTGAGTAACAAGAGCGAAACTCCGTCTCAAAAAAACAAAAACAAAACAAACAAACAAACAAAAAAATGGACTTCCATTGCTTATCGGCCTTTTGTCTAAGATCAAGAATAGTATCTGTTTTTATTCATTTAACGGTAGACTCCCTCAAAAAGAGAGTCTACAATTAATTAAATTATAATTTAATTAATTAAAATATCAAAATCATACATGACTGGTCTTGTGTCCAGCTGCAACTGCACCCCTGTTTGTGGAGGGTCCTGTCCCTGGAAAGCGCAAACTGGCAGGTGCTTTTTTTTTCTTGGCCTCTCATCAGCAACCCCATTTAAACCTTCTTTGATGGTTTCAAGACGATTCCAAAGTAACTCTTCTGGTAAAATTATTCTTTGCCATATGTTTCAGATTTCTTGATGAAAACACAGAAGATAATTTTTTTGAATCTTGCTTTATTATGGGCCCTCTTAAGAATATCTTTTTTATGACTGGGCATGCTGGCTCATGCCTGTAATCCGAGCACTTTGGGAGGCTGAGGTGGGCAGATTACTCGAGGTAAGCAGTTTGAGACCAGCCTGGCCAACATGGCAAAACCCCATCACTACTAAAAATATAAAACTTAGCTGGGAATGGGGGCGGGCACCTTTAATCCCAGCTACTTGGGAGGCTGAGGCAGGAGAATCGCTTGAACCCAGGAGGTAGAGACTGCATCACTGCACTCCAGGCTGAGTGAGACTCCATCTCAAATATATATATATATATATATATATATATATATATGTATATATATATATATATATATATATATGTATATATATATATATATAATGAATTTGATTAATATAAATAAATATAAGTTAATTTGATTAAATTCAGACTTAACAGTTTACTCTCCTGTGACATCAGCTAGTCTTTCAGCTTGCACTTTTGGATTCTCCTAAGTCCCCATGATAGTTTTGAACCTATAGAAAACTGCTTTTCAACAACAGATATTGGCTAATGGGAGATACTGTGATGAAAGAGATGCTAGTATTGCCAAGGCTGCCTATCGCCCCAATGTTGAAGTTTAGCCCTACAGGTGACCAGACTTGCTAGCAGGCCAACGTGAATATCCAGTGAGCTATAAATGTGTGCCAGCTGTCCCGACAGTGGCTGAATGGAGCTCCAGTAGGCAGGTTGTGTTTAGAGAAAACCAAGGAGAAAATAACATGTTAACGGGAATAAACCGTTTGGGGTCAAAATAACAGTCCCGTGTTTTTGTACTTGTGTGAGATATAAAAGGAAAACTTGAGTGTCAATTAGGCTTCATATGAACTTCCAAACATTCTTGCCTGTCTTGTGCATCTTTAAGGAAGTGGCTGGACGAAGGCAAAACTGCCTGAACCTCTCACGTCTTCAATTGCTCTGGAAAACTTTGGTGTCTTTACTGCGGTGCTCACTCTCTTCTTACAGAGTTTTATAAATGGACGCTGACATGGACTACGAAAGACCCAACGTTGAAACCATCAAGTGTGTGGTCGTGGGTGACAATGCCGTGGGGAAGACGCGCTTGATCTGTGCCAGAGCGTGCAACACCACACTCACGCAGTATCAGCTGCTAGCCACCCACGTGCCAACTGTGTGGGCGATTGACCAGTACCGCGTGTGCCAGGAGGTAAGATGCACAGAGTGTCTTTAGCATCCCTAGGGCACATCATTGCTGGTTGCCAGTCTGATTTTTTCTGAAGGAGGAGCGTGGGTACATTGCATATTCAAAACAAAACTAACCTTTTAATACCACAAGCAAAAACAAAAGCAGGCTGGGCGTGGTGGCTCACACCTGTAATCCCAGCACTTTGGGAGGCTGAGATGGGCAGATCACCTGAGGTCGGGAGTTTAAGACCAGCCTGACCTACATGGAGAAACCCCGTCTCTGCTAAAAATACAAAATTAGCCAGGCATTGTGGCACATGCCTGTAATTCCAGCTACTCAGGAGGCTAAGGCAGGAGAATTGCTTGAACCCAGGAGGCAGAGGTTGCAGTGAGCCGAGTTCGCACCATTGTACTCCAGCCTGGGCAACAAGAGCAAAACTCCATCTCAAAAAAAAAAAAAAAAAATGCAAACTGGAGACTATGGATCTGGTGTCCTGAATGAGGATTGAGACATGTGATTCCAGGAAGGGAATTAAGACTTAGCTCAAATCCTGTTAGAATAAGGAAACTAAATTCAAGTGTATTGAGGGGTTTTGAGGGTCTTGACTTGAACATGCTTCTCCCAGGAAACTTCTGATTGACACTGAACACAGATGCTCTCTCTCTCCTGCAGGTCTTAGAGCGTTCTCGGGATGTTGTTGATGAAGTGAGTGTTTCTCTCAGGCTTTGGGATACTTTTGGCGATCATCACAAAGACAGACGCTTTGCATATGGCAGGTAAACCAAGACTAGTACAGCACAGTTGAGCTTGAGTGCAATTTCCTTTTCAAAACCAGCAGCTGGTTCACAAATCAACAAAAACCACATCACATGGCCTTGAAATGTGTTGGGTTCTGCACTGTGTCTAAGAAAAGAAAAAAAAGGATGGTATTGTTTCCTGATGTCAAGAAAAGCAGTGTGCCCTGCCACTCAGGAAGTACTGTGCTGAAAACAACCAGTGCTGGTCAAGCTGTAAGGTTTGCTAGATGAGGATTCTGTAGCACCCTCCAACTGCAGGCTGCTTTGATTGCTGGTTCTCTGAGTAACTCTTCACTTGCTTTCTGTTAGAATGTTTTAAGTTATTTTAGCACTTGGTCACCCTACTTCAGAAGGACTCTTTGGTCTTTTCATGACCATATTGGCAGAGTCTAATGTTATTTGCTTTGGGTTTTATGTTATCTGAAAAGTCTATTGTTTTTATTAGAAGGTCGTTTTTAAAAAGAAAGAAAAATATCTCTGAAATCCTTCACAAGACAGATTTCCAAAATAAACGGACACACTATTTTTTTGTTTTGGCTATTTTTTATTTTCTAAAAAAGGAGAAAATGGCTATTTTTTATTTTCTAAAAAAGAAGAAAAACTCCAATAATGGGAAAACTTATCTAGAAGGACATTAATATGGGTAGGAACATGTTCAATGTGCCTTAAAATATTTAGCAACCTCTCCTTGCCACCGTAACTTAAAGTCTCTCTCAGTGAATGGGTGATAGTTATTAAAATGTGGATTAGCAGAGACTTTTTTTTCCACCACTTAATTATAAAAACACATTTCATTTTAAATGTAGAATGTAGATATCAAGGCCTTGTTGTCTCTTAATATCAAACATCATTTGATATTAAGGATTACCTTACAGGATGTTATTAGTTAGACACTCCAAGCACATGAATTACTCCTTTATATCAAGATAAGCATTGCTGAAGGTTCTTGTATTTTTCCAAGCCAGTAGCTCTCTGAACAGACTTTTATTGGCATTTATCCAAGTGGTCTAATAGGAAATAAACCACTGAAAGAGTTTACCCTATTCCTAGGAAATATTTCACACACTGAAAGAATCTGTGACTTAGACCACTTTTTTCCAAGGGGACTTAGAAAGAGAGATACGGAAGCAAAACACGATGTTAATGTCCTTTTGGTAACAAGGACTTTTGAACTTAGCATCCTGTATCATAGATACGTTTCTTTTCCTTGACTATCCTGGATTTTTTCTTTCTATAATGTTCTTTATTGTTATCTTAGTTACCATTTGCTTTTTTCTTTTGTCCATTTGTTCTACATGTAAAAATGACAATTATAAATGAAGCTGCTTATCACTGCTAGGCAGTCAGGTTTGTAACATCTGTGGTTTTGAGGAAGCTTGATTTAAAAATGGCGACTTTAGGCAATGTGAGGATAAATACAATTGATTTCAAAGGACTTTTAGATCCCCGCTTCTAAAAAGATGTCGTGAAAATGATGGGCCTGATGATGACTTAATGGAAATATTTGGGTTTAGACTCTAGAAACTATTTCAACAGCTCTGTGGTTTGTTGCTTCTAGACATTTATGAAATTTGTCATATTTTCTGTGGAAAATAACAGAAAAAAAAAAACAATGAAATGTTTGCATATCAAACACTGAATTTTAACATGACCCCTCAGTGTAAAGCTGGTGCTATGGTTATAGAAGGGCTCCTTCATTATCTTGTGAGATTCCTGTGTAGCATTTATTTAATGGCACAATGGCCTTCATAGATCCACGCTGGGTCTCGTTCAGCTCCCTGACATAGCTAGTCATTTTACAATACAACATGCCACGCCTGCATGTGTGTTCTCTCCCAGCAAAAATAAGCTGCTCTTTCCTGTGACTGCATCGGTTCAAAGTGCATTGTTCTGCTCCCTTGTCTGTGACATTTGGTTCTGTCAACTGTAACCCATTATCCCTTTGCTGGAAACAGGAAGTGCTCCCCAAGCCACATTTGATTCTCTGAGCAACATAGAGGGGCTTCAGGAACACGCCCGTGTTTCTGGCCACGTTCTCCTTAGGGCCTCACTTCGTGTGCATGTTTGTACCTTGTATTTCCTTTGTTTTCCAATTCCTCACAGCCTCCAGGAGTCCTACCACAGACCCCACCTCTAGTTAAAGAACAAAAACCAGAGCTCCTCTTTCTTGCACTCTGGCATCTTTCTGTAAATACTAAATATGTAAATATCACATTGACATAATGCCCAAAAGTTACATTTTTATGGAAAAACCTGAGAGAAGTAGGAGTTTTTTTATTTAGTATAGGTCTCTGACCCATACATTTTCCTGCTGTGGGAGAACCATTTAATTTCTTAAAGACTTCAAGTTTTACCTTTATATCATTCTTGAAGGAGAGGAATCATAATTACAGCTTCTGACAATCAGTTTGTTTTGCAAACCTGTTTTGTGACTCACATTTTTACTATACTTAGTGAGAAATACGATTCAATGGGATATACACAGACATAAACTTTGAGGCATGTGAAATACATTCCCTATATTTGTAAATGTATTTGAAACCTTTTTTAAATAATTAATTTGATTCTTGTGGTGACAGTGATAGAAGCCAGATTTATACCAACATGTCTTAGACTTTGCATTTGGTTTCCTCTGCTTCATACCAAAAGGTAATTAATAAGTTGCTGCCTCAAACATTACTTGGCATGGACAAGCTCTAGTTTGCAGAGGGGATTCTGTGGGATGAGGGGCTGTCAGTGGTAGGCAGTTGGCCAATCTGAATTTGCAGTGTTTCTGATGTGGTGTAACCAGAGTGTTAGTGGTCTCTTCATGATTTAAATGCAACTATTCTACCCATTTTTTAGCCAATTAGAATAAGAGCTCCAATGTATCAACAGCCTACTGTGTGCCAGTCAATGCATTAGGTGATTTGTCAAGATTAGTTAATCCTTTTAGGAACTGTAGGAGGCAGAGATGATTTTGGTGCTACCATTGAGTAAAGGATTGAGTTCTTTTACTATCGTAAATTTGCCTAGCAAGTGAGTCTCAGAGGAAGACTCCAACCCACTCTGCCTGGCTCCTGGCTCTCACTCTTGCCACTGTGCCATGCCACCTCAACCTACTGGGATCCTACGTTGGTGAGCTGGATTTCTGTGTGTCCTTTCAGATTTGTGCCATGACTTGTAACTAGAAGAGATTTCAAAAGGTCATCTGGTTGACCTCTTGTCTTCAGGAAGGGAAATTACCCAGGTCTCCAAAAAAAGTATTGATAGGAGCCCTTCTATTCCATGGAGATGATGGGAACAGAGTAGTATGAGCTGGTAACGCTCTGCACTTTGAAGTCTGTCGACCCTCTCTTCTCTGGAGTGAGTAACTCCAGCTCTCTTGTGGCCTTTTCCCCACCACCTACTTTATATCCACTTTTGGATGAACTTTTGAAGCTCTTTTCTGGATCTTTTAAAATGTCAGGCATGAAACCGTACATAGTAACCGTGACTATGATCAGTTGCTCTTTTTTGGCAAGGAAAGCGCCTCTTCTTAAAGGGATGTTGCTCAACTCAAGAGTTGTTTCCTGGAGCTCTTATAAAAATGAAATGTCCACATTTAGGGACTTAGCACTGAAAATGTAGGCAAACAGTATGGGCTCTGTCTTTATCAGGAATCTGGCCACTCAGTCCCTGTATTAGTCAGTTCTCATACTGCTAATAACAATGTATCTGAGACTAGGTAATTTATAAAGAAAAAGAGATTTAATAGACTCACAGTTCCATGTGGCTGGGGAGGCCTCATAATCATGGTGGAAGGCAAAGGAGGAACAAAGTCACATCTTACATGGAGGCAGGCAAGAAAGAGCATGTGCAGGAGAACTGCCCTTTCTAACACCATCCGATCTCATGATACTTATTCAAGATCATGAGAACAGAGTGAGAAAGACCTGCCCTCGTGATTCAATTACCTCCCACCAGATACCTCCTGTAACACATGGGAATTACAGGAGCTACAATTTGAGATTTGGGTGGAGACACAGCCAACCCACATCAGTCCCTTTTATCTAGTCATACACATGTAAATAATTACAGATTCTATTATTGTTTTTTGGCCCTAGAATATTTCCTTCATTGATCTGTATGCAGGTCAGAGAATTTTCAGACACTGAATTAAGCCTGTGGTGCTGACAGTGGTAACAACAACTACGGTTTCATCAGGATGCCCCATGGGCCAGGCCTGTGCTACTTGCTGCATTTGTCCTGTCCTGCTTCATTCCTGTGGTAAGCCTGCAAAATAGGCTCATTTCAGAGTTGGAGAAACAGGCACAAAAAAGGGCCAAGGTCAGACAGCCAGGACACAATGGAGCTGGACTTTCCTCTTTAGTCTCTCTGACTCCAAAGCCCATATCTTCCCCATCCTTGTTGTTATAGCTGGTGATGATGATGGATGATAACATTACTTGAAATTTCCTCCTGATACAGTCCAGATCTTACACAGTCCATGTGGACCCTGAAGACCAGCACTCACCATCTATCACCAGCTCTGATGTTCCAGTGCTCCTCTTAAATTCTTTAATCCACAGCAAATAACTTAATTCTTTGTATGCATCCATAGGTAGCTGAACATGAGTCCTTTTGCTGTCAGTAAAAATGATACATCCAAGCAAACTTTCTGAGAGTGAATGGGAATCTTGGCATGTTTCCTTCAAACCATTTAACTAAAACATTCAGAACCACTGTAGTTGCTCTTATCCCCGGCAATTTCTGGGCATCTTTTTAGTCCGATTGGAACCCACTTATTATATAGTTTATTCTTACACACTGATTTTTCTCAAACATTGTTAGTTTCTATTAGAAGTACAATACATGTTTTAAATGATAACATTAATCGGAGCTACGGTTTCTGTGTGTCTGGTTTCATGTTGATGGTACATGTAATTAGACACGAATGAACATACCACATTCTCAATGCACAGTTGAGGCTCTTTAAAAAATTCAGGACTGTAGTGACT